AGCCATATTGTCCCCACTAAAACGCACAAGGGACTGCAAGATGAGACTCGCCCCAGATCTCTTCTCGTCTGGAAAGAGCGGAATGGGATTATACGCAATAAAGACAACACTGCGCCAATCTCGTTCCCAGAGTCTTCGTTCCCCTTGACCAGCGGTCGGAAAACGAGAGCTCTGGGAGCAGAGCTCTCGTTTTCCGACCGCTGGTCAAGGGGGACGAAGACTCTGGGAACGAGATTGACACTGCGCAAAATCACATCCCCGCGCACGCATTGCCACACAGCGGTCGCACACTGCATTTTTGTTTGTGTACAATTCGCAACGATAAGTCGTAACTATGAGTATTTTTCCACAGACTCGTGATTAATGAAAACGTGTAATTGCATGTTACAGCAGCCATACATTATACAAAACTCTGGTTTAGTTTGAAGCACAGAATGTTCGCATTTTCTTTTTTAAAGGAGTCATATATTCGGAAAGACGTTATTAACTTCCTGGTGTAGATTTATGGCAATATAAATTCAAAGCCATTTGTCACTTTGTGATTAAAAGTTAACGTTAACAGACTTAAAATATTAGGATTTGTAACAACTACAGCAAGAATAAGTTTTGTTTAAAGTTAAAGAAAAGTATGATTTAACTTGTGTATATCCGGATTAAATAAATGCGTTACAGAATGATCACTTGAAATCACGAAGACTCTTCAAAACCAGCAAATGGAACCACAGAAACCTGAAAAATAAAATTAAATAAAGTTATAATAGGTAAATAAACGTTAACTAGTTGTTTCTGCCAAAATAAGTTCTCGTCGCCTTGTGAGACCCTCTCGTGTGTCAGCCGAAATTGGAGAATCTTTCAGTATCTTTGGCTGTGGATTCCTGGGACTAGTGGAGTTGTCACGTGGCTCGGGATCGTGTACGATCGAACTATGTCGCGTTCTAGCCATGTGTGTGTTGCTACTCGAAGTTCATACAGTGTTTATGTATTAAAAACACTACAGGCTTAGAGGCTGACATGACTTGTGGGTAGAATGGAAGGGGGAGACTGAGCACAACTTATAGAGCGTGGAAGACTGGGACCAGGGGTTCAAACAACTATAATAAAGCTTTGATAATATCTCCTCTGATTGAAATCGATCTTACCTTGCATAAAATAATCAGGGTTAGAGTTTGCAATCTTAATATTCCTCATCTGAAAAAAAGCTTGACTGCGATGTTGTTTTGGCTTTTGGAGCCTTTTTCGCAAGATTTGATGTCACTCCAGGCGGAGGTGGTGGCGGTGGTGGCGGTGGCGGAGGGGCCGCGGACGCAGGTGGTGGGGTTGGTCCCGGTATTGGTGGAAGAGGACCTAGCTCTTGATCCATTGTATAGTTCTCATAATATGGTTCTATTTGTGGATCGGGTTCGTCATAGACGGGATAACTTGAAAACTGTTTCTGCTCAAAGCCCTCATGTGATTCGTCCTCCATGTACTGTAAGAGTTTCTTTTCACGTTTTCGTCTTATCCGCCTCCTAAACAGAACAATTAAGAAACAAAATGCTATAAAAAGTTTGTTAAGAGAAAACGTAGTTATAAGTGGTACAGTAAACAACTTTTTAGAATTCTACCAACTGTTCCATCTAACATAACAGAAGAACAGTTTCAAAATATCCGGTGAAAAAGGAACTCTTCATAACTCCAAACTGCTTTAAAACACGGTTTCGGTTGATTACTTCAAGTTGTAGGGAGTTGAAAACGCGTCATTGAGCCCGGAATATTTTATTCTCCTCTTTTGCTTTCTCCTTGATGAGGTTTTTTGTTTTTTGTTTTGTTTTGTTTTTTTGTTGTTGTTGTTGTTGCAAAGTTCTCGCCGATTTTATAAGAGAAGCAGGGAAGGTTCTAGAGTTTTTGCGATTTACGTTTGTGACTTTCAATCTGTTATTTTTTTTTTTCCTTGGAGGGGGATAGGAAAGAAGTCTGTTGACTCCCATTTCTGTCTGGGACATTTTTTTGCGTTCTTTTTTTTTCTATGCATCGTGCCCATAGCGCAAGTCTGCAATTTCACGTCAACACTGGCCTGTAGCATAAGCATCTTAATCCAAAATTAGCTTTATAGCAGGCCGATAAAAACCCATTTTACAATGATGTGTAGTATGTGATCTGTGCTCTCCGTTTGAATCCAGTCACGTCTCGTCCTTGCCTCTCTTTTCTCTCGTCAAATGACGTCGAGTTTCTATTTAAAAAGCGTTTTTCTATTTTACGCCTTTAGGCTAAAACGTCTATTAAACTGCCATTCAAATTACTACGGTTACCGTATACCTTTAGAGGTGTCTCTCGTCCAGGCGATGTAGCGCGTCCAGGTTAATTTGTAGACACCTAAATCCCATATCAAATTAAAGCTTGTAGAGCTGGCTATCACATTATACCAAGAATTTTGAAATAAAATGAGTTGTCGAATTTTTTACGACCTCTCAATGCCAACGTCCGAATCACCTTTTGAAAGATACAAGTCGAAGGAAATTTGGTTTTTCCAGGAGGCTCCTGGTTTTTCGCTTATTTAATTTGTTCCTCATTTTCCGGACCCAAAGCGCTAAAAAAAGTATGGGCAATTTGAAAAGTTACAGAACATTTTCGAAATAGGATTTTAAAAAAATGGAGTGACTGTAGAAAAATCGCTCACGGGGAAAAAAATATTTGGAAATAAAAAATTCTTGGACATGTTTTTGCTGTTTATATATCAAACTAGCTACAGTCCAAATTTGACGGCAAACGAACAAATTCCCTTTGACTTGTAGCTTTCAAAAGGGATCCAAAAGATGATTCGGACGCTCACATTTAGATCGAGGTCGTGAAAAATTCAATAATTGGTATAATGCGATAGCCAGCTCTGTAAGATTTAATTTTATGTAGGGGTTTAGGTATCTCAGTTTAAACCGGACGCACTACATCCCTTGGACGCGAGACACCTCTAAAGGTGCTCTGAAGTTATACAGGAACCTTAATTATAATACTACACTACCCATGCCCAGACTAGGTAGGTTAAGCCTGGATACGAGCCAAGTGGCCCATCGTATCAGGCCGAAGCTTATCCCGGTTCCTGTAACATGAAGCGACTAGAGGTATTTCTACTCCCCCCTAGATGGGATGCTAGTCCATCGCAGGGCTACCCCCAGCATTAAATTCGCTGGTACCCAGTTATACACCTTGGTGGAGAGAGGCACCGTGAGAGTAAAGTGTCTTGCCCATGAACACAACACAGTCTACCCAGCCAGGGCCACTCGCTCCGGAGTCGAGTGCCCTAACCATGAGGCCACCGTGCCTCACAGCCAGACTAGGTACAGGCCGTAAATACATTTAACTGACCCCTATCCCGTTTTATTTCCAACCTTGCCGCCGGGAGGAAAAGCTGTTTAGTTATTCTGTCGCATGCTGAGGGTGGGTTCTGTAAAGTTGAAATCATGGCTTCATACCTGCACAAACAGATCGTAATGGTAAATATCACAAGTCCAACACCGATTGCTCCGAAGATCCATAATCCTAAGTGCTTTTTCACAAACCTAACGACTTTGTGGTAAATAGACATGATCTTGTGCAAGATAATGTCATGCAGTTTGGAAGGCTTCGGTTTTGTGGTGGATTTGTGAGTTGTCGTAGTCGTTTCAAGTTTTACCGTGATGGCCGTGGTCGCTGGTCCTATAATCGAAGGAATGACAAAAAAATGAATACAAATAAACAAAAAATGTTTACTTTACATATGCATAGCGTCGTTTCTCAGGAGACCTAGTTTCCTCTCACCCTTCTCACCCTCTCGTCCTCCCGAAATAAACAATTCTATAATGATGACGTAGCGCTACTGAAAATCATGTCTTTGATTGGTCGGGGCTAATTGTTGAATTTTCGCAGAGTGACAGTTATAAACCCTGTTCCAATAGTCTTTCCAAGATGGCGGCGCCGGCAAGGAAAGACTTTTCTCGCCGCGTCCACCATCTTGGAAAGACCATGAGAATTAAAGTCAAACACTTTATATTATCTCGATATCTTGACTCACCGCAGTATAACCTTGGGCCAGGACCACTTGCATGTTAACTATAGCAACTCATATGTAATATAATTATGGTTCAAAAATAAAAAAAATAAACATAATGAGCCATATCAGCCTTAGTTGGTTTTCATGCAGGTCCTATATCCTGATCGAATTGGAATTTGGAAATGCGGTTTTTTTAAGAGGGAGGAAAACCAGAGAACCCGGAGAAGACCCCTCGGAACAAAGCGAGAACCAACAACAAACTCAACCCACATATGGCACTGGGCAGGAATCGAAGCTGGGCCGCATTGGTGGGAGCCGCTGAAAGGTGAACGCTCTCACCGCTGCGCCAAACCTGCTCCCCATGAGAGTAAAAAATCAATAAAACCAATACCTCGTTTCTTTTCACATGTGCGTCCGTCTCCTAACAAACCTTTGTTACATTCACAATAGAATGTTTTCTCGTCAAAATCTACACAGGTAGCATTCCGGTGGCAAGGGGAATGCTTCTTATTTTTACAAGGGAATTTGAGATCTGCAAGAAAGAAAAAAAGAACAAAACGTCTCATCAAATGTTCCAAC